GATAAGAAATGAAGTTATATTCAAACACACTTTTAATAGGAATCAACATTGAAAGATTGCAAGCATACAACAGGACAGGATAAATAAAAATGAATTGATATTATTATTATTATTATTATTATTATTATTATTATTATTAATAAGTTAAATTACATTTTTTTATACATTACTTTGAATAAATTTTTTATTTTTTATCCATTCATTTTAAAAAATTTAAAATTTTAGTCAGATGTTCAATTTTACATATTTTTTTAATTTGTTAAAAAATTTATGTATGAAACTCTTGAACGAATATGTTAAATATTTAGCTTGATATATATATATATATATATATATATATATATATATATATATATATTAAAATAGATTAGATTTATGACCAGTAAATTCATCTTAAAATATAGGATTTATTAATTAGTTTTATTCTGTCTCGTCTTTTTCATGTGATAGATTTATTTTAAAAATTTATTTATATATTAAAATTAAAATAATAAAATTATAACTAAATTTTTTGTTTTGTTATTAAATATATAAATATATTATAATATTATAATTTAAATTATAAAAATTAATCAATTAAATTTAAATTAATGATTATAATTAGTTGTTTTAATATATAAATATAATATTTTTAATTTATTTAATATAAATACTAATTAATAAATAAAACTTAAAAATTATTCATATAATTAAAAATATATTTAAAAAAATACATATAAAAAAATTATTGATAAACTGGTCCTCAATCTATTAATTAATTCCTTTAACAAAGGTTAAGAGTTACAATATATTATGTTAAATTAATCCGTTTTATCTTATTTTTTACAAGATCAAGTGAATAGATAGACTCTTTTTACCATATTTTATATATATAATTTTAAACTAAACCAATTGTAAATTTTTTACATTGAAAAAAAAATCACACTCAAAAAATTAAATAGAGAATAATAATAATAATAATAATATTATTATTATTATTATTATTATTATTATTATTTTTAACAAATGTCAATCTTCTTAATTTTTTTTATAAAATAAGAAAAAAAATTATAGGTAAAATATATTTTTATTTGTGTGATTTTTTTATGAAACTTAATTTTATTTATTATATTTGAAAGTCGATGAATTAGTTAATATATAAATGTAGTTATTTTATTAAATTTATAATAATACATTTTTATTAAATATTAAAATTATGTATTTATAATTACATATTATTTTTTATTTAGACAAGAAACATGTACTAAATGTTAAATTTAATTATAAAAAACCTAAAATCATATATTTTTCAAAATTAAAGAACTAATTTTTCAAAACTTACATGACTACCCCAATGGGCGGGGTCCTTTTAGATTACAATTTCAACACGTTTTCTTAGGCCCTATATGTTTCTTTTTAAAGTAACTTGCATTATGTTTAGGTGGAATTTTGATTTGCGAATAAGTCTACAATATAGCTTCCACTTTAAAACAAAACTAGTATGTCATTGGGTCTTCACACTACTCAGTTTTCTTTCTTGTGCAGTTTTATAAGTGACTACACTATAAAATACATATTCAATTTACTGATTATTATAATCATAAAGTGATAATTTAAAAATTTAGATAAAGAAATAATCTTTGTAAATATGTAAATATTTATTTTAATCCAAGTATTTTTATATATTTAATTGATAATATATCTTAATATAAATATTTGATAACAAAGTATGTTACATAATTATTGATGACAAATTATTGGAATGGGATTTATAATATTAGTTTTCATAACTAATTTGTAGCATCATTAAATTAATTTTAATTTAAAAAACAAATTTTTATCACAATTAATTTGATGAATATGTAAACTATTTTTTTTAAATTGTACATATTCTTAAATATACACCTACACAAGTTAATTTGTTTCCTGTATATTAATGGGCTTACTAAATATATTTATCTCGTAATTGTGGTATTGCTGTTGATTGAAACTATTTCAACATATATTATTAACTTATTTCCTATATAAGTTATATATACAATATTGTACATAATTTAGCAAGTTATATTAGTTATAATATAAATTATTTCCTATGTGTATTTGATTATATATGTAATTACTTTTTTAAGTGTCAGCTTTGAGTTAAAAGTAAGTAAATTATAATATAAATTATCTTTTTAATAATAATAATAATAATTAATTATGTTGATATTCTTCTAAAGCATATTCAAATTATACCTTAGTACAATATATACTAAGTTATCTTTTTTTACTACATTCAAACGGGGTACCCATTAGTATTTTAATTAATTTTATTACAATTAAAAAAAGTCATTTATATAATAATTAACTGTACTAATAAATGAAAACTCCTATTTTAATTAATTCAATAACAACTACCAAAATAATATCATTATTATGATTTTTTTCATCCTTCATCAATTTTTACTTCTATAAAAAGAAAACTTGTTTATAGAATTAATTACACAATAAATATTTGTTGCAAATATAATATGTCACTTTTAATTAAAAAAAAATTAGTACTGTAAAAATGGTAGGTTTGCAAACTAAAAAAAATTAGGAAAAGAAGAGATTATCCTTTTCTAAATGAGGTTATTTGTTTAACTTAATTTACAATGTAAATAATTTAAATGGATTGATATTTAATAATAATTATATTATTAAAAATATATTATGTTATTAATATATATTATTTTTATTTTTTAATACATAATAAATTTGGTGTTAAAAAATATGTACCATCCTAACCCTTTTTTTAAGGTAATTCATGAAGATAGTTTAGTCAGATTTAGACTATATATATAATTCTACCAAAACGATAATATCTTTCCATTTTATGATATCATAAAAAATATAATTGTATTTCTAAAATATATTTTTATAAATAGTAAATTAAAGCAAGAGATATTTTTTTACTCCCTTCGTTTATTTAAAATTGTTTATACTATCATTCTATCTTTATAAGATTCAATTTTATTTTATAATTTTTTAAATAGTTCAAATTACTTTTACCATCTTAAGTCAAGTTAACGTTTGAAACAAATAAGACTGAACTAATTTAGGAATGAAAAGAAAAAAGAAGTACCTTCATAATGAATAAAAATTGAAATTTTGTTTTTAACAAAGATGAATTATGTGATGAAAGTATAAATATTATTAATACAAAATAAAAATGTTATTAATTTTTTTTCATAAAACAGTTATTAAATAATATTAAATTTAAAAAAATAATTAACAGATAAACCTTAAATTATCGAAGTGACTATTTTTAACCTTTTATGTCTAATTTTGAAACTTAATTAATTTAATAAATAAATAAATTCCTACACTGACAATTTTTGTAGACATAATTGTTTGTAAATCACCAATGGAGAGTTTTAAACTGTCACAAAATATACCCATAATTTGATTAAATAGAAAGAGTGATATCCATTTTTTTTAATTGTAAATTTATAAAAAACACAGTCGTCAAACAAATTTAAATAAAAATATAAAATAATTATGATTCAAGATATTAAAAAATATTTTATAAGTCCACTGTCTATTGTTTAATCTCTAACATAATAATAATTATACCAAATATTCTTAAGTATAATTATTATTATATATATAATTTATTCCAAAAATAATTTTTATGTAACATCTTTTACAAAGTATTAATATTATTTTTATTAATTTTTTACGTATTTTTCCATGAGTTTCGAAAGTTCTACCTTATTTAAAAGTATTCTAAATTTTAATAAAATAATAATAATAAATCTTGTTATGTATTTGAAAAGAAAAACCTGACAAAGTGACAAAAAACACCGATTGCCAAAATAACCACAGACCTGGGATTGCCAAAAATGTTCAGTTGGCCCAAAAATCCAAATCCCAGAAAATGTCGAAGAGGATAATTATTAAAAAATATTCGTGTTAAAAGAACGAAGACTCGAATTTATAAATTAAAAATAGATAATTTAATCTGATAGCATCACTTCTTTTAATTATTATTTTTAACTTAATTATATTTTTTATCCTATTACTTATTTTCTTTGATTTTGTCTCATTATTAATAAATGAATTAATTTCATCTTTTAATTTTAAATCAATCTAATTTAGTTTCTTTTATCCAAATTAACTTAATAGTTTTAATCGATTTAAGTTTTAAATTTGATTTGATTTAGTACAATTGAAAATGGTTTAAATTGGATTTGTTTTCGATTTTAATCTTATTTTTATTTTCTTTGAAGAAACAAATAAATAGATGATAAAATATACAGTATATGTGATAAAAAATAGTCTAAAAAAATCTTTTATATATTCAATTAGATATTTTTTTAAAATAAATATAAAATGTGACAATTTTATAAATATATAAATAAAAATATGAATACGACTGACACCACATAAAAGTAAAACGTGTATTCGAATGTGTAAGTTCAGTTTGGATTGATCTTCAAAATCTAATTTAATCCAATAAGAAATTTTAGATTTTGTTTTGTCCATGTTTTTGTTTATTTGTTTTTAAAATTTTTGGATAAATTTTTCTGATTTTGATTGAATTGAATAGGTTTATTTACAATTTTGTATGTTTTGTATTGTGTTACCATGTTTTCATGGCTATAAGAACTCTGAGAGTAGAAGGTTATCAATTTATGAAGCAAAAAAGGCTCTTCCTTACTGTTCTAGAAACGTTATTCAATGTCTCAGAAATAAAAATGTTGACAGTATTCAGTTTTGCTAAACGGAAGTGAAATTTTAAGCAGTTCATCAGCTCTAACACTGGCTGGATTTTATTGCTGTGGCGACATGATCTGAATTGGAAAATGGATTTAAGTACAACTTACAAGCTATTTTTATTTGGATACACTTCAATGATACTCCAAAAGCCACACACGTTGTTGTTTCTGGATCTATTTGTTGATTTTAATTCAGCTATAACTTAATTTACAAGCATATAAAGAACAGGAACTCAAGAAAGTGATTAGACCATCATGCTTATTCTCTCCTTAGATTCATCATTTGGAACCCATCTTGACACTTGAAGAGGAATGGAACAGAGAAGACACAGAGAAGCTTGAGTTATTGCTTTTTGTTTTCAAAGTTTGCATGACTGGTACTGATGAAGAAGCTGTTGGTAGAGGAACTCCACCAGAGCATTTATTCCCGCGTGCATCATTTGCAGGAGACCCTTTTAGAAGCACATCAAATTTTGCATACTCTTCCCTTTCATGCTTTATCTCCTTCAGCATAGCGACGATATCTCTCATTGTTGGCCTTTCATCAGGAGATGAGTTCACACACAATAACGCTATTCCCAATGCCTGCATAATTTCCTCTATTTCTGATTCTGGTCTACAGAGAAAGCTTGGATCAAGCACTTCAAGACCTTTCTTCTGTCTCACCCAATCAACAACATGTAGACCATCTGGGATGGTTGGATCAATTGGTTGCTTACCTGTCAAGACTTCTAACAAAACTACTCCATAGCTATAAACATCACTCTTCTCTGTGATCTTCATCATATAGCCATATTCTGAAACAAATTCAAATTCAGATTCAATAAGCTAAACAAATAGTATAAAATATGTTAAAGATGTAAAATATGATAGAAAATGAAGCCAGTCAAGCTTTCTAAAACTAACTATTGTGTACAATTCTTCACATTTGTTTTCCTACAATAAGACACTAACTGTATTTAATAAAGATGGGAGTTAATAATGCAGAAGAATAGACGCAACTTCTGCAAGTAAACAAGTAAAACTCCAAAAAAGAAGAATGTAATCAAGTTGGTGTCAAGGCTAACTAACCTGGAGCAATATATCCATAGGAGCCAGCAACTGTATTGGAAGAACGACCAAAATCGCCATCATCAACGAGTTTAGCCAAGCCAAAGTCAGCGATGTAAGGTTCAAATTCAAGGCCAATGAGGATGTTATTGGCTTTGATATCTCTGTGGACTATAGGAGGGACACAGTCATGATGTAGATATGCAAGGCCTTCTGCAGCACCTAACAAGATTCTGTACCTAAGTTCCCATTCCAGAGAATTTCCAGACCTCTCATGAAGTAGACTACTCAAACTTCCATTCGGCATGTAATCGAAAATAAGCAATCTTGTTTGTCTGTTCCAACAGCACCCCAAGAATCTGACAATGTTCTTATGACGGATTGAGCCAAGTGTCTTGACCTCAGCTGAAAATGAATCACGAACTCCACTTTTTTCTTCCTTAAATGCCTCTTCTGCATCAATTGTTGTTGGCCACAATTTCTTCACAGCAATGACTTCCCCATTATCCATTTCAGCTCTATATACAACACCAGAACATCCCTTTCCAATAATATTTCTATCAACTAAACACTTCAGTATTTCTTCCACTGAAAAGTTTAATTTCTGAAATGGTATGAATTGCCATGGCCATGAGTCCCCCAATTCTGAATCATCATCCCTAATGGTTCTTCTTGCTTTGATCACAGCAGTTATTCCCATTACAATCATTATTACTGTTAAGGCTATCAGCAATCCAATGGCTAGCTTAAGCCTTTGCGACTTCCTTAGTTCATTTCCATTTAGTTCCATACCAGTCTTGCTAGAATCCTTCACAAAGCATGAGAGCCCTTGATTTGCAGTGAAGTCTTTTGATGTCAACTGCCTGAAAAGCTTGTTATTTGGAAGACAGCCAGAAAGTTTGTTGTAAGATACATTGAGTGAGACAAGGTTGTCTAACTCAGCAAGAGGTTGCAAATCTCCTTCCAACTGGTTGTGTGAGAGGTCCAATATGGAAAGCTTGGTAAGAGAAGATAGCTGAGCTGGGATTATTCCGCTGAGTGAATTGCAGCTAAGATTAAGAGCAATTTCTAGAGTCTCGATCCGGCCAAGCTCAGCTGGTATGTTTCCACTGAGGTTGTTGCTGCTAAGATCAAGCAGTTGGAGATTTGAACATAGGCTCAATGATGCAGGAACAGGTCCAGAAAATAAGTTATTGTTCAGGATTAGCTTACTCAGAAAAACTAGACGGCCCAAACTTGCCGGTAAAGGACCTGAAAACTTGTTGGAAGATGCATCCAATACCTGAACTGCTGATAGTGAAGACAACGAATTAGGCAGAGGGCCTTCTAAGCTGTTGCTGCTGAAGTCTATCATTTGCAGTTCAGAGCAGCTTCCAATCTCATCAGGCACTGGACCTGAGAAGCGGTTCCCAGAGAGGTCTAAAAAGTTCAAGCTCTTTAGGTTGCCTATTGTCCTGGGAATGCTTCCTGTAATCCTATTGTTTCCAAGCCTCAACCTTATAAGAGAGCTGCAATTGCCTATTTCATTTGGTATGAAACCTGATATGTCATTGGAAATCAGAAGCAGTTTTGTGAGGTTTTGGAGCCGGAATAGGACAAAAGGAATACTACCAGTGAGTGCATTGCGTGACAAGTCTAGTGCTTGAAGGTTACTACAGTTCCCCAACGTAGAGGGAATGCTTCCCTCAAGCTGGTTCTGCCAAGCAAAGAACACCATGAGGTTTGACAATTGGCCTAGCTCTGGTGGAATTAAGCCTGAGAGCTGGTTTGTGTCAACTTGCAACTGTTGAAGATTTTTAGCATTTGAAAGACTGGAAGGGATTGAACCAGACACATTGTTATCACTAATCATAAACTCTTCAAGATTTAAAAGACCCCCCAAAGATGCAGGTATGGTCCCAGATAGAGAATTTAAGGATAAATCAATTTTTCTCAAGCTTGTACAGTTACCAATCTCTTCTGGGATAGCCCCCACAAGACCATTCTGCCAAAAAAATAACTGTTCCAGCTTCTTGAGCTTACCTAGCTCAGATGGAATTGATCCTGATAGGCTATTTTCGTATAAGAACAAGTCAACAAGTTCAGAACAGTTACCTAACTCTGGTGGAATTTCACCAGACAGCATGGTTGTGTAGATGGACAATGTCTGAAGCTTTGTGAGCCTACCCAAAGAAGCAGGCAAAGAACCAGATATTCTGGTATCAGCCAGCCCCAAAACAGTCAAATTTCTGCATTCCCCAAGCTCTTCAGGAATCTTCCCCACAATATCTTTGTTTCCTCCTGCTCTTAGGGACTCAAGTTGTGACAACTTCCCTAGCTCAGGTGGGATGGTCCCAATTATCTGATTGTCAAAAAGAAGTAGATTTTTCAAACCAATGCAGTTTTTTAACTCCACTGGTATCCTTCCAGTAAGCTGGTTAGAGTTCAAAGACAAGTTCTGAAGGTTCTGGAGCTTGCTAATGCTGGCAGGAATTGAACCAACAAGATTGTTAGAGCTGAGGTCAATGACAGTGAGGGAAGAGCAATCACCAATGTATGAAGGGATGCTTCCAGTTAGATTGGCATCTGAAATGACAAGCTTTTGAAGAGAGTGAAATGAAGAGAGGTTGGAAGGTATAGGAAGCTCTAGGGGGATGGATTGTATGTTGATTTCAGTGACAAAGCCTAGTGAGGAGCATGTTATAGATGTCCAGTTGCATGGATTTGGATCAAGGATGTTCCAGTTAGAGAAAGAAGGAGGGGGTGGTGATGCAGAAGAAGTATGGAGCCAAGAGAAGAGAGTTGAGGCTTCATGGTTGGCAGAGAAGGCAATGCCATAGAGAAGTGTAACTTGGAGGAAAATGATACAAAACAACGAAGAAGAAGAAAAAGAAGAAGGGAAAGGAGAAGAAGAGATGTACAAGGATTGCCTCGAGCTGAGCATTGAAACATTTGCCTCAAATTCCAAACTTTTCTTCTCCTTGGGTTTTAGTCATCGGGTTTTGCACTCTTCACTCAACCTTGAGAGAATGTGTATGCTGTGGCTTTCTTGCTTTGAACTCAAACTCAGAGTGGCACTTCTCTTTCCAAAACAAAGCTAAAAGGAGCATTTCACACAAACCATAGGAGAATAAAATAACATAAAATTGAATGCCTAGAGATCAGAAAATCTGCAGCAGCTGCAGAAGTAGCACCACCCCACCCCACCGCACCTAAGATGCTTCTTTGTTTCTAAGCAAAAGCATTAGAATAATGGGGGCTGTGCCAGGTGGTGTTTCTTGCAATGAACATGGCATCTTATTATATACCTCTGGAGTTTGGCTGCACTGCACATATATATCTCTGATTTATGCTCTTTGTTTATTGCTCAGCTCCTGAGTCATGGTACTTTCTTAGCCACTGGTTTTCTCATTACCCTCTCTCTCTCTCATTTTCAATGAAAAGTTTTAAATAAACTATGTGTCTCCTTGTTGTGTCATCCATCACACATGTTTTTTTTTGGGTCTTCAAGCTATATTGGCCTATAGAAGGAATTATCTCTCTTACTGTTCTTTCATACATCTTTATATTCTGTGATTATAATTTTAAAAAATAATAAATTAAAAAAATATTTACAAAAATGTAATATATCACCCACTTTAGTTTAAAATTCAAGAATTTATATTATTTAAATAATAATATTAATATTTTTCAAGGATAATGAAAATATAAAGAGAAATATAACAAAAAAAAACATAAAGACTAATTTTAAATATAGAAAAAATACATTACATTTTCATAAACTAATAATATATCTTTTTTGTCATTATATTGTTTCGTACAAAAGGAAGTATAATAGATAACATCTTCAAAAAGTACAATCAATCACATCATCATATATACATAACTTTCTTCACATTATTATTAAGTAATATTGATACATGTATAATCAATTATAGAATTAATTGTTAAAATTTATCACAAATGTAATGTAAATTTATATTTACAACTGCATGTCAAAGGTAAATTTTTTATTTTAGAAAATCTATACCAACTACTCAAGAAACTACACAGAATCACGAACTTTGGATTCCCTGTGTCCAGAAAGTGCATGAAGTTAATACGTGTTCATATGATTACACATATTAAAAAATAATGAACAAGTTGGTGAGGAATCATAATAAGAAAGTAATGTTTCTTTAGCTCGTCTTCCTAAATCACAGAATGCTGAATTCTGAATCAAACGGAAATATTAATGCATTAGTTATGATTGAATTATATACATAACAGTACACTTGCAAAAAGCTGAAACTCTTTAGGTCTTGCAGTTATTTTTTGAAAGAAAAAATTACATGCTGTTTTTAAACAGATCAATTTGTGACTTTCAGCTAGAAAATCCCTGAATTAAAAAAGCCAAATAAAGGAAAATAATCCAAAATGGAATAAACTGAAAATTACAATAATGATACTATCAAATATGTAAATCATTATCATGAAGCTATTGCAACTCATCATCTTGTATTCTATTTAAAAAAAAAGAGTGTTGGATTAGTTCAGTGTAGCATTTGTTTGCGTTTGAATAAGGAAAGCATGGAATCTTTCATTAATGGTGAATCTAAATAATAGGCAGCACCATAAGTGGGTCAATCAATTAACATAGTATAATATATGGAAACTCATATAAAGTAAAAGTCACCAAATTCAGTCAAACACACCCATTGACAAAGTCAATCGATTATGTGGCTCTGGATTCATCATCCTTTTAGAAAATTATATGTAAGTTTATTATTAGCTATTGAGTCATTACGTATAAATATGTAATTCCATATTTAATGAACTGATTTTGTCATATGCTTTGTCCACGTGACAGTGATTGTATCTTTCTTTCTCCATTTTACTTTTGTTTCTTCTTTTTTAATTTGTCTGGAGCATATACAGTATAATATGTATCATCGAAACCACATATTAGGTGCAGTTTGTTGATGGATCCAATGGAATTTTGCATTTCTTAATTATGTATAAATGAGCTCGAATGAGCATAAAATTCTGCAGATTTAGTTTTCATTACTTTAGTTAAGTGCTGTAACTCATGAATTATACACATAATCACATGTACACCAACTTCAACACCTTCAAAATTTCTTTTTTCACAAATTAATTCATAATAAGAGTAACTATATATAGAGTCATAGAATTTGTTCATAGTTACCATGCATGCATGATTCGCGAAGAAAGATGGCAATATGACCTAAACGACTTTGAAACAACACAGAACATAATTGGAATCCATGTTATTCCCACATTCACAGTCATCAAAAGAAGCAAAGAAAGCTTGGCAGAAGAGAGAAAAGTAAAAGTTAGAAGAACAAAACAAAAGCAATATGAAACCATGACCCTCTGATGTAAGAATGCAGCCTAAGGTGGCAAAAATTATTAACATTTTAGGAAACTAGTTTTTTATGCAGAAAGTGGGGTGGCAGCAATGAGCTTTTAACAAAAGAAAAAACAACATCCCAGATTTTGAGGCCACATCACGTGAGGATGGGAATCCAAAATTTTCTATTCATTGTGTATTGCCCAACTAAACTCTTTTCTTAATCATGAAACTTTTAACGCATCAAATTTGAATATGGAGTTGGTAGACATAATATTTTAAATAGCTCATTTTGAACAGATATTCAATAAGTATATTACTGTGTATAGAATTTAAAGTATTTTTCGTTTTAAAACTCTAATTTACTCTAATTTTATCCTTAAAAATAACTCAAATAAAGAGATACCTTATATGTGAAATTTATGATTATATAACTTTAGGGAAGGTCTATAAAGGGCATTACCCATATACAAAAGAAAAGTATTGGATTTAAAAGGATAAAGAACCAAAAGGAAGGGAGAAAAAAAAAAAGGTTAAACGGCGCTGCTCCTTCTTTGTATGTAGCCCCTATTTTAAGGGTCGTCACATTGGGAAACCCACCATCGGAATCTATGCACATTTTTGGTTCTATATATCAATCAAATACCCTAACTATACCTAACACATATTATACATAGCCCTTTTCTTTTAACTTGTTTGAATGGAGATCAAAATAATTAGGGTTTAATGCGTCTAATCTGGTTTGTGGCTTTAGTACCCTTTTTCGAAGATTAATTGGTGAAGTGGGTGATCCATGAAAACCCAAGGCAAATTGATATGCTTTTATATGTATGTAATATATAATATTTGAAAAAAAATAATATCATTATTATCATTACTACTCACTATAACAAAAAGGAACCTTAATAGTCTATATCTATAAATTATAATAATTATCTTGTCGATTGTGAAAGCTTCCATATCTCTTTGCACATTTGATTTTGGGTCTGCTCAATTTCCTAAAAAGTAGGACAACGAAAATCACACTGATAATTATTTCATATTTAGATTGAAAAAAACATAAAAAATATTATTAGGAATTTTACTTTTAATTAATATTTAAAAGATACAATTATATTATTATTTTGTGACCATTACTTCTATCACACCATTGTGTTGTCATTATTGATATATATCCATATCATTACTACTATTAGGTGAGGATTTAAAAAAAAAATTCTCTTCATTCCAACACTATCACTTACTATAGATATAGGTCAAACACAACTACAACATTTCTTACTACGCCTCTATTAAACAGATTTAAATTAGTTTAAGTATTAATTAAATATTTTCTAATAATATATCTAACAATATTTTTTTTATAATTGTTTAACTTTGTTATAAAAAAAAATAGACCCAGCATGACTAAATAAAAAAGTTAAATTTTTATAATTAAATAGTTATAATTTAATAAAATATTAATAAAATATTAATAAAAATAAAAATTATAATAAATTTCAAAATTCTAAGCGTACACACTAATAGACATTTTCATATGTAAATATTTTTGTAATTTTTTTATAAAAATTGTAAGTAATAAATTTAAATAAATGTTTACAAGAAAATTAAAAAAATAACTAATATTTTAATATTTTCAATATATAGATAGATAGTGATTATTAAGATGTAATTTTCTAATTTTTAAATTTAAAGATATAATGATGTCAAATTATTATTTTATAATTTTTTAAATAAAATAATATAATGAGATTACAATTTCATATAAGATTTACCATAATTATTAAAAATTATTTTCTTTTAACAAATAAAACTAATAGTAGGGATTTAACTATTTATCCCAATTATACATTTAACGGTGTAAGTTATAATATTTTGTTATCTTAATTTTTTTAAAATTAAAATAAAAATAAAAATAATAATAGAATATTTAATAAAATTTTAAAATTATATTAATTATGATAATATATAAGTATAGAAATAAAATAATTAAATGTGACATAACATCATATTACATAAATATATATGATTGAGATAATGTGTGGTTTTATTTTTTTCTAAATTAATCATGATATAATAATAATAATAATATATTATAATTAGTTAATTTATTTTAGTATATTTTTACAATTGTTAATGCATTTAATCTCAATCATTTTGAGAAATAGGTGAATCCTAAACCATGATATAAGTTAAGATCTAAGTTAAATTAAATTAATTTTAGTTTAATTTATTTAGATCATGAAATTAATTTATATTAAGTTAATATAAATTTATGAGTGAAATTGTTTTATAAAATATTTATTATTTTTAAAATAAAAATAAAATTATTCATTAAAAAATATAGATATTATAAATTAATTTAATAAACGATATTTATATATTCTACAAGTATAAAAATAAATATTTTATATCTGTTTATTCTAAAATTTAATAATTAGGTGAATTTTTATTTTAAACTATTATATTATTATAAAAAATATATAATAACGAGTAGTTTTAACTTTTATTTTAAAGTAAATTTATTATTTTCTTATCATTTATATATTAAATTATTATATTATAAATAAATATTAATTTTATTAATACAA